CAGTTCCATTAACAGCCATAGATTTTTTAAAAAAATCATCACAGACCCCACAAATCCAACTGAAACAAGAACACAATGTCTTTTACTCCCTATCTGCTTCTCCTAGCTATCTCACACAGAGAATAATTATTCTTAGATGTTTCTGTGTTGAGGAAAAGATAAACCAGTTAATGGAGGAGCAGACCTTTGATGGTGTTTCTACCTGTCTGACATCCTCCCTCTTTAGCCTACACCATTACGTTCCTGGTGTGGCAGGCCTGTTTCTCATTAATGACACCTTTGCCTCTCCCAGGATCACATAGGTATTTCTTATATAAATAATGGAGATTTACATTATCTTCTAGGGCAAGAATGTGCAATGTTTTTGCCCTCAAGAATCACGTGCAGCAATGGACAATGGTTGTGGGTCCCCCTGCCATCAGCACAGGTAGGCAAGGTTATTGGTGGACAGGGCCCAACATGCTTCTAATTAAAGATTTCACAATATAGTCATATTGCTCCAATAATGAATGTTTGTGAAAAATAATTTTCCACCCCAGCCCTCCTGCATTTTCCCTTTGTTTCTTCTTCTTCTTCTTCAACAGAGAAAATCCATGAAGGAAAAAAGAAGGGATACCTGCACAGTGCGTTTTAGGAGCCCTTTGTCAGCAATTATGGCTAAACTCCCTCATCTTGTTCTACCTCTTCCCGTTCCTCTTCCTCTCATGCTCTCTGCATCCCTCTCACATGGTCTTATCCCAGACCCGTTCTATCTCCTCTCCCTTTATGCAGCCCTCTCTCTTCTTCTGAGGCTCCTTCAGCCCCTGGAGGCTGCTGTGGGGAACATGTCTCTGCTGGGAAGGAAGCAGGCAGGAGTGACCTTTCCCACACCCTCTGCTCCCCATGCAAATTATACTCTGCCCAGCCCACTAAACAGCTGCCTAGGGGACTCCATTGAGTGCAAAATGAGCAAGGGGAATACGGCCTGGGGTCATTCCCACGTGCCTCTTCTTGTCCAGTGCAATCCAGCTTCCTCCCTCCTCTGACAGCTGATTTATGGAAAGGAAACTGAGCTATAGACTCATGGTAGGGCTTGGGAGGATTATGTGTTTTAGAGCTGAGAGGTTTGGCCCTCTCTCAGCTGTGTCCCACTTGGTTTCTCAGTGTACAGCCTTGATAGTCATGAAATGATGAGGTTGCAATAATAATAGGGCTTCCACCTTACCTTCCTATCCAGACAAATACAGTGGTAGTTTGGTTTACGAATACCTTGGTTAATGTAATTTTTGGTTTGCGAAGCAAAATCCATTGAAAATAATGCCTCAGCTAGGGTTTTTTTAGGGGTTTTTTTTGTTTGGTTGGTTAGTTGGTTTACAAAGAAAGTTTCCCCAGGATGCATTGTGCCTGGAGGTTTATAGCGCCACCCCCGTTCCTATGGCAATCTGCATTTCGGTTTGCGAATTTTTTGCATTATGTAACATTCTGTAGAACGCATTAAATTCATAAACCGAGGTACAACTGTACTGAGCACACAGAACAAGCCAGGGATCCAACCCAACTCCCCACTGCCCATCATCTCCCTGTAGAGATCCTGTTGATAGACACAGTCCACAATTAAACAGAAGATGCTAAAAATGCTGTATTATATATAGAGAGAAATAAGATTTCTCCACAGAAAGATTTAAATCCATGTACATATTTCTGCTGTAATAAGATATTGAAGACTGATTTTTTTTTGTTTAGCACATAATAGGTAATTATTATTTCAGTATTATATTTGATTTCAGAGGGGCAAACAGATTATATTGTTTATATCAATATAAACTACAGTATATCAAATTATAATAACTCAGATAAAGAGCACAGAAGATATGCAATAAAATTGTCTTTAAGCACAGAAACAGTTATACAATGGTAATTATAATAGACCAGCGCTCTTTTTATTATAATTCCTAACTTTATGGATATCTGATCAAATGCTTTTTGATGAAATATTTAAAATTATCAAATGATTTTGAAGGTTCAGTTAACATAACCTTTTTCCTAAATGAGATCACTACTGCACAGAAAAACCATATGTGCTCTAATTTGTGGAAAGATGAGGCATGTTTAGTTTCATCTGATTATTAGGAAACTCTAGTCAGTTTCAAATATCTGCAACTGCAGAAAAATAGATCTCCAATATTGTTATACTCAGATATACATTTTTTTCCCTAACATATAGTTGGCTGTATAAGAAAATGGCCTGTGTGAGGAAATACTATCCAACACAAAAACAGTCCAAGTGTCATAGGAGGAATGAAAACTTTATTTTAAGTGATTTTACTAAATATTTTCACGATAACCAGCAGTCACTGGTATCTAGGAAGGGCACCTGGCATGAAGTCTGTGACAATTTTCTTTGGATTTGCTGTTAATATCTTTATATTAAAACATTCTACTTCCTTTACTATCTATGCCTACAGTACAAGTTTTGGTGTAACTTTCATGGGATTTGAGTCCTTTGTCTCTTTTAACTAGATATGCTTTCCTCTTCCCCCAGATGTACATTCTCATTCTGTATGAAGTTTTTGTGGAGGTATATTCGCGAAGGCTTTCACAGCCGGAATCTAATGGCCGTGTTCTGAAGGTTGTTCTTCCTAACGTTTCACCAGTCTCTATGGCCAGCATCTTCAGAGGACAGCACAGAAACCGGCGAAACATTAGTAAGAACAACCTTAAGAACACGGCCAAAGAGCCCGAAAAACCCACAACAACCATTTTTGTGGGGGTGCTTGGCAGATCTACGTGTTAAGTTTACGCTAATTTTTGTTTTGTTTTATGTTAGAATAAATCTTCTCTTTGTATATTGAAGGGAGAGGATGTAACTTCTGCTTCAACTTTACAATGTGTGTTTGTACCCTTGGCCACATTACTAGTCTTTTTGCCTCAGTTTGCCCTTCTGTTAAATTGGTTACCTCTAGTCCTTTGCCAACTTTTGCTTCTCTGCCTACAGTTAATCTTGCCTCCTGTTACTCCTAGCTCTGCATATGTTGGTGTCACCTGTTCTTACCTTCTCTGGCTTCTGCCCACCAACATCAACTGCTAAGGGAGTTTTCTACTGGCAAATTCAGTCATGTTTAGAGCTGACCCACTGAAATCAATGGTGTTTAATCATGCCTTTTGTCCCATATATTCCAATAAGTCCAAGAAAGATTAAGTCTGGAAGAACATTCAACTAAATGAGCCCCCCGAACTCCAAAAGTCAACCTGAGGATAGTGTAAACAAGATTCACTTTTACTCTCTTATCAGCTTTTCCTAAGAAACAGGCTTAAACCACTACTAGAGTTAGGATTCCATTCCCATTTAAAACTTTCTGGGGCTTGTTTTTAATCCCAAAGAAGCAACCAAACAGCAATACTTTCTCTAAATTGCCTTATCTTGTGCATCAGAATCGGTTGCCCTGTTTTGCCTCGTATATTTTATGCCTTTAAAATGGCATAAAGGTGGAATAAGGCCGATTAACTCAATTTCAGAACCAGCTCCCAATGCTGGAGCAAAAGAAGGATAAAGTAATGTGTCTCTGGGGGTGCACCGTGGGCCTTTTCTCCCATCTCAGTGTAATTAATAGCTAAAGCCACACCTGAGCCCTGAATAAGAAGGAGGAATTCTACATCAGAGGCAGCTGACCTTCCAGGAAAATTTGAACTCCAGGTATCTGGCTGTGAAGCCAGAGGTTGGGAGTTCAATTCCCCTCTGTGTCTACAGGGAGAAAATTCAGCCTGTGGAGCCTTGGGCAAGCTACACAGTCCCAAGATGATCCCTGAAGAAGGGAATGATTAACCACACCTGGAGTACTCTCAACCTAAAAAAACAACCCTGATTCGCTATACATCAGAACTGACTTGATGACACATGATTGTTATTTTAGCAATGGGCTTTCATTTAGAACCGTTATATCCAGAGTCAGGACGGTCCCTGTCATTTGGCACAGTTAGGCAAGTGCCTCAAGGAACAGATAGAAGAGAAAGCAGAAAATGGCAGTTCCTTCTGACTCTCAGCTATTCTCCTGGGGGCTGTGTGTGGCACACAGCCTGTCCTGCATACCCTTTAAACTAGCCTGCTGCTCCCAGGTGAGGTGGAGAATCTTAGTCCATTGCCAGTGCCCACGTAAGATACCGCTGCCAGTCCCGTTGGCTTCTGCAGACGAATGAGGGGGAGCAGGCGCGATCTTATCCTTCACCTCAGGCAGAAACACGTCTCCGTCCCCAAAGTGTGTCTGTGTGTGCATATGTGTGTGAAAGCAGAAATGAGCCTCAGGAGGCAAAACAGCAGGCGCGATCTTATCTTTCACCTCAGGCAGGAACACGTCTCCGTCCCCAAAGTGTGTGTGTGTGTGTGCGTGCGAGAGAGAAAGCAGAAATGAGCCTCAGGAGGCAAAAAAAGAGGGGGGAAGGGGGTCTAAAAAGGGCCTCCTCCAAAGGGGTTTCCCTGCCGATCGCCCGCGCTGCTCCTTCGCCCTCCGTTCTCATTCCTCCCTCTCCGCCCACCCTTCCCTCTTCCCGGCTTAAGGTCGCGCGGCTCGTGGCGCGCGGGGAGCTGGACGGGCGCAGCGCCCAGACTGGCATCCAAGGCAAGGCAAGGCAAGGCAGGAGCCGCGAGGAGGAGGTCGCCATCTCTTGGCCCACCGCGCAAGGAAACGATGCCCCACCTGCCACCTTGCTCTTCCCTTCCACCGTGCAAACCTTCTGGGCACTCCCCGGGCCGTTGCACGGGCACACCCGGGCCTCCAAGCACCCCACACCCACGCACGGAGCCCCAGTTCCCGGCTGGTCCTCCTCCGTCGAAGGCGGATGCCTAAGAGGGAGTCCACCTGGGCACGGCCCCCGGGCCTCTTTCGCTTTTCGCCCCCCACCCTGCCTCCGCGGCGTCGCCCCTCCTTGCCTTGCCTTGCCATGCCTTGCCCTGCCAGAGCATCTTTCACCGCCCCAGACGGGGCGCTCCTTCCGCTCACCACCTCCGGCGAGGGTCGCTCACTCACCCGAGGGCTCCGCTCCCTGCAGAAGCCCCTCGACCGACCCTCCCCCTCCGGCAGGCCCTCCACTCGCGGCCGCTTCCCTTCTCCTGGGCTTCGGAAGTGAGGTGGGAGGGCTACGCCGGCGCCGAGCCCGAGCCGGGGCTTGTGAGGCCGCCTCGCCTCCCCCTCAAGCACACAAAGCGCGGGGCTGCCCGCCTCCTCCCTGCTCGCCTCGCCGCCT